AGGTCCTTTTTCCTTATATTTTATTGTTGGGCGCGCCCCATCTCTCACTACATTCGGTTTCTGACATGTAATTCTGGACTTCTTTAAGATTGCTACAACAGTGAGAAAGGTCAAAATGGCTCCTAGTAAAAGCACAGAAGCCTCTACACTAACCTCCCAAAATAGCAACATTCCCAAGCCAAAGTCCAGAAAAGACATACCTCTCCGAATTTACCACCCTGCAGTTCTGAATCCGCCTTGTAGCCAAGGGGTCTCCGCGGTGCCGGTGATGTTAACAGGTTCCCGGGTTTCGGCACCAGATGTCCCGCGCGCTATGTTCTCGCCGGCAAGAAACACGCAGGACACTCGGATCCTTCTGCAGGAAAGCTTTAATGCATCTTGAGAGTGGGAGAGCATAAGCTTACCAGAGCGGAGACCCCGGCCCAAGAATCCCGTTCCTTAATAAAGGCTGGCAGCCTGCCTGGGATGTGTTACCCTATGAATGGCTTTAGCTCCTCAGGCCAAATGAGCTACGGGATAGGCAGAGATCAAAGGAATGGAAATTACCCAGCGCCTGCGAAATAATTTACATTTTGTGCCTGCAGGCACCATCATTGTAATGGAGAATGCAGGAACGGCTCCCTACAATAGACCTGGGGTGTGAGGACAGAGAGCAAAGGAATAGTGGGAAGGATGGTGGCAAGGCGGCTCACCCGAGGGCCTTTGACAGACTTATGACTCTGTTTGGACTCTTCTGTCCAAATATGTATAAAAAATAGCCCTGGACCACAAGCCTTCTATTCTGAAGGGTGACTGGGGAAGATAGTGTTCAGAAGAATGGCCGGGTGAACAGCAGCAGATAGCTTAGAGCAGAAGGAAGCCCTAGACAGGATCTAGTCAGGAGAGCCACCCAGGAGCTCAGGTGTTGGGAAATGAGGACTGGAGCCTGAGATGAGGGGATGCAGGGAAAGGAGGGGGCTTAGTGGACATCTTGACCATCTTGGTAATTATTAAAGGTTCAGTGCACCTTTCAGAGGGATACTGCATGTGTAGCTTGAGAATTTTGTCCCTTAGCGAGTGGAGAGGGGAGGAAGAAGCATGCTTTGGAGTACTTGCCGGCAATGGCTGGTGAGGCTGTGCTACCTGTACAGGGTTAGAAAATGTGGAGGGGACATTGCTTAGAAACCGTGCTTGTAAGGAATGACACTTTCCCCAGCATCCATGCCGAAGCAGGAGCAACCTGTGTCTTTCTTTTTTCCTCTTCTGGAAGTGCTAATGTTTTGGTGGGAAGGAGAGAGGTTGCCCTGGAGCAGCTGTTTGACCTCAGGGTCCTCAGTGGTCTAGTGGCAGTGATTGAGACTCAGGACAAGGAGGGCTGGCTGAAAAGACTGGGTTCCCCATAGACGCTGTTATTGGTGGTAGGCTGTCCTACACACAAGAAACTTGCATAGGAGGGTGGTCCATATCTAGTCCTTGTGTCCCTTACTAGGCCTGCTGAGCTGGGTCCATCCAGAGGAGGGGACATCTGCCTTATTTGATGAGAGGAGTCATGTAGTCAGGGTTCTGAATGTCATTTTTAAAAGAACTTTGAGAAAAACTAAAGTTACTGTGACTGTATTGTAGACCTTTGGTTGGATGCGTATGTACCTTAGGTTATAGTGAACTTTCCCATGATTTGATCAATATGGAAGCTATGTGGTCTTTATATGATGTTTGAATTTTGTACCTATGTGTCAGTTAGTTCTGGTTGATGTGACAAATTACTAAACTGTACAGCTTATATGACAAATGTTTACTTTGTACAGTTCTGGGGCATAGAAGTGTGAAGGTAAATGCTCACAAGCTGAAGACAGAGCATCTGTGAGGTACAATTGACCAGGCTGTGTCTTCACTGATCCCCGACTTCCGTGGGACCCACATACATTTCTGGTTCTGCTGAGCTGATGATGAGGGTGACCAGTCTCTAAATGTGTTCCTCAGGACTAACGGCAGGTCCTGACGATACCCTCCTTTGAACTTGACTGTTCTGATTATTTTTTACTCCTCTGTATTTTCAAAGATCCCATCAAGGTTTCTGACATCAGAGCTGTGAGCATCAGTGCCACAAACATGACCCTGACCTGGAAGATCAATAACAACGAGTCATCTTTTTGCTACACCTACAAGATACATGTGGCTGGCGGGTCCAGTGCCTTTAACCAAACTGTCAATAAGACTGAGGCCATCATCCGTGGACTCACTTCAAGTGGGTCCAGTGCCAGCAACCAAACTGTCAATAAGACTGAGGCCATCATCCGTGGACTCACTTCAAGTACCTTGTACAACATCACAATATGTCCTTTTCTGGGTCATGATGAGGGCGAATCAGACTTCCTCCAAGTGTATACTTGTAAGTTCACTCTTTGGTACCTGTTCTGGTTTGCTTTTCTGTTGTGGTGGTGATAAACTCTGTGACCAAAGAAAGTTGGGGGAAGAAACAGTTTATGTCAGGTTATATACTTCGAGGTGGCAAGCAATCCATTACTTAGGGAAGTCAGGGCAGAGCTGAAGCAGAAGCCAGAACTCGGCTTATTGGTTAGCTTCCTGGCTCGTGCTCAGCTAGTTTTCTTAAACAATCCAGTCCCACCTGCACAAATATAGTGTGCTTATCGTGGGCTGGGGCTGCCCACCTCATTTATCAATCAAGACCATTTCTTATAGACATGGTTATAGGCCAATCCAGTCTGGGCAATTACACAACTGGGATTTCCTTTTCCTAGGTGACTCTAGGTTGGGTCAAGTTAACATTAAAAACTAACCAGCACTCTATAGCTTACCTTCCTTGTGGTCTATTATATGCCAGATCTCAGTATAAGGCGAGGAAGGAAGCCCAGTTCTGTCCTGAAGGAATGTGTAGCACTGCCCATGGCTCCACAGGGTCTCATTTGCCCTAAAGGGTATGAGATGCAATGACAGTGATCATTGATTGGCCATAATCACATGCTCAGTGATGTGCTATTTTTGCACTGTGTCACTGAGTACTTGGACATCCTGGTGGTATGGTTGGTGTTAGCCTAACTCTATGAAGTGGAAGCCATGTCTGAAGTAAAGTGCGCAGGCATCTTAGCAGGGAAATGCTAGAGGTGAGATTAGAATAACATGTTCAAGATGAAGCAGCCAGCCATGGCCAACACTCATCCTTAGAGCCTGGCATCCCTTACCTCCTGTCACTGTGGGTGACTGGCATGGTATCTGCATTCTTGTGGCCAAGTGATCTTTCTTTAGCCAGAAAACCAGTTTTTGAAGGGACTTTTCTCAGCAAAAGGTCTGAGAACAAGTCAGTGTTTTATGAGGGTTGATCACTCTGTTCTCTGGAGACACTTGTTTTTGAGACAAATTTTCAGTTTGTAGTCCAGGCTGCTCTTGAACTCGAGATCTCCCTGTTTTAGGTTCCCAAGTGCTGGTATTGTGGACAGTGCCACTGCTGTACCATGCCTGGAGATGGAGGTTTTTCATCTAACCTTCCTCACTGTCTTCCACAGCCCCTGGTCCAGTTTCTGACTTCCAAGTGACAAATGTCAACATAAGGGAAATTGGTTTGACTTGGAGAAGCAATGACTCAGAATTTAGAATTCTTACCATGGAGGTGGGAGGTGAGAAGATTAAAAATTATACAACCAGAAATCAGAGCTTTATCATTGAAGACTTAAAGCCTGGAACCAGTTACCATTTTGAAATATTTCCACGAGGACCAGATGGGACTGAAGGGCCATCCAGAACAGTTGATGGTAGAACTGGTAAGCATCCTGACATTGGAGTTTCTTACAGGAGACCAGCATAATTTATAGATGTCTTTTTACAAATTTATTTTTCTTTTTATGAAAAAGAATCTTAAAATATTTCATGACTGTGTGTGGTGCATAACATTAATACAAAGTGAAGCAAAAAAAAAAATCACATGTAAACCCATCAATTAGGTGCCACACTGTTTGTGTGTGGAGGTCAGAGGATAATTTTGGGAGTTGGTTCTCTTCTACCCTGGGTTCTGGGAATTGAACTCAGGTTGTCGGGCTTGTGGAGTGCTTCTACTCACTGAGCCATCTTACCAGCTTCCTACCACCTTTTGAGATAGGTCTCATGTGGCTCTCTAACTTACTATGCAACTGAGGTTGGCCTTGAACTCCACCTTACAAATCCTGAGATTAGAGTCATGTGCTACCATAACTATCTCCCTGATACTATTTTAAGATGCATACAAACAAACATATTTACCTTTTATAAACCTTGCTGTCTTTGTTCATTTGTGGTTTTATAGTCTGCTTTCTCTTCACTTACCTGTGTATTGTGAATATTTTCCTGTCATTGCTATTTATTTATTGAAACAAGGTTTCACTGTGTAGCTCTGGCTGGCCTAGAACTTGTTGGCTTTGAAATCACAGAGATCAACCTGCTTCTGCTTCTCAAGTGTTATATTAAAGGCATGTGCCAACATGTCTGGCAATGTTTATTTTATGGGATAATTTAAAATCAGCCTTGTATTTGTGTGTGGCCTAGGGGTAGGTTTCTTGGAATAGTTGGCAAGAAGGGTTGGAGTAAGGCCCCAGATACGTAGAGTTACTGTCCATTGTTGAATAGTTGTCACCATCACTCAGGACATAGTTGAACAGCATTAAAAGCAATCTAGAAAAAGGGAAACAAATATCTACTGATCTAGTTTTCCATTTTTTGGTACCTCTCAGAAAGAATTGAAAGCAGAATCTCAAATAGCTGTTCACACACCAATGTTCATTCACAGAAACCCAGAAATAGAAGCCACCCAGTACCTATTGATACACAAATAGACAAAATATGGCTTTGTTTCTACACAGTAGAATATTCTGCCTTAAGGAGTGAGTCCTTATGTATGCTGCAACATAGCTGTATGTTGTAAATATTGGAAGTGAAATAAGTCACAGAAAGATAATTCTATTATTATTTTTAATGACAGGGTCTTACTGTGTAGCCCTGGCTGGCCTGTAATGTATCCTATAGAATAGCTCGTCTCAAACTTACAGATCCTCCTGCTCTGTCTCCCGCATGCTGGGGTTAAAGGTGTGTGTCGTCACACTCCTAAAAGACAAGTACTTATGCTTCCATTTATTCAAATAGGCAGGTTCAGAGATAGAGAGGAACTCAGGTAGAGGGAGGGGGAAGGTAGTGTGAAGGTAGATTTTACATTGAAAAAAACGAGGAAAATATTTTGAGTGTGATAATGGTAATGTTTATACAATACTAGGGATATACTTAGCACTGCCAAAATGCACATTGACAGATGGTTAATGATAAATAGTATGCTGTGTTTATTTACCATGCTAGAGGGAAGGAACATATGTAACTCTTAACTGCTCTCATATGACTGAATTTCTTTCCTGTCTGTGTCCACAGCCACACCTTTTGTTCACATTGTCATAGTTATACAACGGATTTTATTTATATTTGAACGCTTTGCTCTGTGTATGTTGTGATCCTCCCCATAGCTAGCCTGACCTTCCTGCTTTTAGAGAAAGGTTTATGATGAAACCTACATGATGGTAGCCATATCATGGTTTATAAAGCTCTTTCCTCTTTAGTGTGCCAGGCGGGCCATAAGAATGCACGTTCCTTTGAGTGAATGATGACAAACAAGCAAAACAACACTTAGCTTATTTAATTAGGCAGGGTCTTGCTACGGAGATCAAGCTGGCCTTGAACTTGAAATCCTCCTGCCTCAGCTTCATAGATAGGTGTGCATCATGTTCAACTTCAAACATACTCTTTATTGAGGTACAATATATGTATAAAAAATGTATCCATACTCAGTACATAACTTGATGAAATGCTACAGGTGAAATGCATCAGAATCCCAGTTCAGAGTAAGAAATGGAGTATGGGCCAAATGGCTAGCAGTTAAGAGCATTGCTCTCCCAGAGGATCTGGGTTTGACTCCTAGCACCCACATACATGCTCCCAGCCACCTGTAACTCCAGGTCAGGTGATCCAGTGTTCCCTCTTCTGGCCTTCCTGGGTACCTGGCAGTTCAGGCTTTGTGAACTCATGGGAGGTTTTTTTTTTTTTTTGTAGGGTCTCACTCTAGTTCAGGCTGACCCCTGACCTTTAGTGCACTGTGTCTGAACTCCTTGGAGAGTTGGCTAACAAAGAGTTGGTTCTTTTGACAGACCCTTTAAAATGAAGCTGGAATCATGATTAGATACTTTTTCCCCCTTTTCTCTGACTAGACCGCAGTGCTGTGATTGACATCCGCATAGTCAGTGTCACGTCCAGTGAAATGCAGCTGGAATGGGAGAATACAGACAGTACTTCTGGATATAACTACCATGTAGTTCTAGAGTCTGAATGTGGCCGCAGCAATACCACCAGTTCTCAGAAATCCATCACACTAAGGGACCTCACCCCAGGCACCTTATATAATGTCACAGTCACTCCAGAAGTGGAACAGGTCCAGGGTGACGCCACCTCCGTTGCCCAGTACACACGTGAGTCTTGTGAGGGATGGGGGCAGAGGGAGTGCTTCTTCCACTTGGCACATGGAGGAAGTACAGTAACGGATGGAGAAAGGGTGGATTATGCCTCCGGGTTTCAGGTTGATGTGGGAGTTGCTTAACTTAAAAGCACCAGCCTTAGCAAAGACTCTTCAGCTCTTGTGGGCACTATGGCTGGAGCCATGTGAACACAGAACTGTTCTCTGGAAGCAGAAAATACCATCATATGAGAATCAGGAATGTTGTAGTGCCTGCTACTTACGCCTGAGAAACACAGACTAGAGAGTTGTTGTCCTGAGGCTCTGAAGATCCCCTCAGATGAGGATCTCTTCCTGTGATGGCGAGAGGGAGGCTTCCCTAGCATTCGGTGGAAAAGATGGTGGAAATGTTAGCTTATCATATGCTTCATCTTCTTTACTAGTCAGATTTCAAAGGGAGCTTGGAAATTGTAGTGCTTTCTCTCTCTCTCTCTCTTCCCCCTCTGTGAAATAATGTATTGAAATGTACATTATAAACTTAAATATTAAAAGAAGCCTGAACATTTTAAATTCTTTTCAGATTTGATATGTATAATTTTCTGAATGTCTTTTTGGGTAATCATCTTTTCTGGTAGTAGTACATAGTAATTATATTAATTCTTTCTTGGAAAAAAAAGCCAGGCCAGTTTTGGATATAGTAAATCAAATAATAATTCAAAGTGGTTCATTTTATTTGTTTATTTAATTTTAAACCAAGGGCCCAGCAATGTGTCTGACATTGAAGTAAACACCAGCACAACCGTGGCAACCATCTGGTGGAACAATTTGGACAAAGCCTCTCCTAAGTATTCCTACCGCCTTATCTTGAAGGCTGGAGATGGTAGCAATGTAACCAAGATGATTATCACAGATGTTGGAATCACTTCTCAGATGGTCTATGATTTAATCCCTGGCTCCTCTTACACAGTGGAGATCTTTGCAAAAGTTGGAAATGTTACAGAGTCACTGGTACCTGGCTGGAAGTCATTCTGTATGGGTGAGTAGTTCTTCCCTTTGTGATACTCAGGATGTCTTCTCCAGCCTGTTGGTCAGTTACTGTGCCTGCAGTGGACAACCATGGACATGGAGTGCTGCAAGACAGCCCCAGCTTACTAATGACAAAGTGATGCTTTGCCTTTGCTTCATTCAGCATTTGTTTATTGAACAGTTGCTATTTTAGAAAGGTCTTCCATTTCTGGGACTTTTATTCTGTGAATAAAACAGATAATAAATAAAAGTGAGCAGGTAGTTAGTGTAAGTCTTCAGACATTATGCTGGCCTGCTCCTGTCATCTGGCAGAATGCACTCAGGCAGTACCCTAGTCAGCCCATGTGTAAAGGACCCCTTTAAAAGAAAGACCTCTGCCCACTTGCTCTCTCTTTCTGCTCTCTTTTCTGTTTATTTTCCCCCTGTGGGCAGACAGAACTTTTCCTGTCTCCCTCTTCTTTTCGTCCTCTTTTTGTGTCTCTTTACTTCTTTTCTCTTTCCTACCCCACATACCTTTCTAATAAAACTTCTCACTAAGCTCTGTCTGCTTGGCATGTTTGTCCCTCTGCCTCGGTCACCCTCGCCTGCCATGGAATCCACCAAGGTTCCCTTTGAGCTTTATCATAACAGTTAGGTGATGATTATGGCTAAGGAGAGGGAAAAGAAAAAAACAAAACTAGGGAGGTGGGAAATGGTACTCTTATCTAAGGTGTCATGTGAGGATGCTCCGTGGAAAGGTGATTGAGCAAGATCTGAGGGAGTAAGGAGCCAACCTCATGGGTACCACAGGGTTTTGACCCTGCATTGCCAGCAGACGAGCAGCCAGTGCAGAGGCCCTGAGGCTGGAGAGAACATGATGTTGCAGGCCAAGTGGTAGGAGTGGATTTGCAGGAGCTAGACCATGAGGGGCAGGAGGCACCAGAGCTCAATGCTTGGCCTCTGATTTTTCCTATGACGTAGTTAAAAGATCTCTGTGGTTTTAGTGACCCTTGCTCAGTTAGACTGCATCCTACTTGGTCTTCTTGGTTTACTTTGTGGTTTGAGTGGTGTTGCTGGGACTTCTGTAGTTATTGTAGCCTTAAGCAAGAGAAAAACCCACATGAGCATGTACGGCTGGGAACAGGAACTGGGAACTGAACTTGGGTCCTCTAGAAGAGCAGCAAGCACTCTACCTGCTAAGCCTTTTCTCCAGCTCTTCCAAGAATATTGCTTGGTGACTGACACTCATGTTTCATTTACTCCTCAGACAGTCTGCACTGAACCCCACTGAATAAGGTGACTGACCCAAGGTCACATGGTCTGGTATTGCTTAGTTCACTCAACCTGTTCATATCCATGTTGTCTCTGTTTTGTGCTGGGCTAAGCTTGCTGCTCCCTGTGAGCCTCACCTTGCCCTGTACTTGCTTTGCAGAGCCTGCGCCAGTGGCCTTCTTCCACTGTGAGGTGGTCCCTAAGGAGCCAGTTCTGGTTCTGAAGTGGCCCTGCCCCCCTGGCATGAATACCGGCTTTGAGCTAGGGGTCAGGAATGACACGTGGAACAATATGACATACCTGAAAAACTGCAATTCAGAGGATGACACAGAATGCAGGGGGAAAGTACAAAATTTGACATTTTCTACCTCGTACAACATCAGCATTGTCACCTTGTCATGTGGAAAGATGGCAGCTCCCACCCAGAGCACCTGCACCACTGGCATCACAGGTGGGTCCTGTAGCAGGGAGCCGGCTACCCCTGGAGCAGCTGGTCCAGCAGCATGCAAGGGCAGCCCAAGAATCCTTTTAGGCTGTTTACATTCCCTTAAAGTGTTTTTACCAGCAGACTGCTTGTCGTATTCTGCAGAAATCCAGCCTGAAACTGCAGAGTAAGAGAGGCGTGTGTTTCACATCCTGAGTAGTTCTGTGTTCTGTGGCCTTCCAGAATAGCTTGTTGCCATGTTTTGTTTCTTCTCTTCCCTTCCCTTTCATTTCTCCCCTCACCCCCGTATAGTATGGAGTTCCCTTATTACATTTAAGAAAGGGATTTTTAATAGAACTGTTCAAATATATACTAACTCTGGACAATAGGATGAAGCTCATGTCCTGTTGGACACTTGTCAGCACATTTACACCCCCCTTCCTTCTAAACTGTTGTTGGATGACTCTGAAACCTGATTTGACCATTGTTTATTTGTATTTGTAAATACTTCCACATGGATCACTTCAAGATAAGGACTTTCTTTCCCTTTCAAATATGGCCATATTACTCTGACCGCCATACTTATGGAAGAAGAAGCAATGATATTATTGTGTATTCAGCCAGGACTTATTTCCCTGGAATCTGTTGACAAGAGCCCAAGTTGCTCTGGGGGAAGAAAAGATCACATACTACACAGGGATCTCCTCATCAAACCCTTCACATTCATTCCTTTTCTCTCTCCCCTTCTTCCCCCACCCCCTTGCTTGGGAAGAATTGATTTATTTTGTCTGTCCATTGCTCCCCCGTCTTTGCCTAACTTGTGTTTTAGTTCAGCCAGTGGGGTGGGAGTGTTATATCTTCCTTTTTTTTTTTTGATAAATATTCTTCAGGGTATAAGACTATGTCTCCCAATTTCTAAAGAGCTAGTGGTTGTTCTGAAAGGACCTCTTATTTTAGGGACCTGACTTGGAAAGTGGTTGAGGCTCAGAATAGATAGGTAGAACCTGGTTTGAGTTCATTTTATCCCATTTACCATTCATGTGATCTTTAGAAAAGATAATTAGCCTTGCAAAGAGTTTCAGTTGTGAAAAGAGAAACAGTACCTGCCTTCCAGGACTGCTGTACTGCACATTACACATTGAAGACCTCACACTTGGCTGCTCAGGTTATGTACTGTACAGGGAAAACAGCATGCGTGGGGCTCCCTAAAGTTGTGTAGCAGATGATGGTACCCTACCCCTTGGCACACCACTTTGGCTTTGTAGAACATAGTGGGTACCGTGAGCACTTCATTTCCTCCTTTGTAGCGCCTCTGTTCATGGTATCATCTCTGTATAAACTGTTGAAGAACAGAGACCATGACCGAGTCTGTGCCTCTTGGACTGAGTGTAGCACTTGGCAGAGAGCATAGGTGCTCATCAGAACTAGGTATCTCTGGGTTGGGGCTGTAGCTCAGTTGATAGAGCACTTATTTAGCATGCAGGAAGTTTGAGTTCAGTGTCTGGCACTATATAAATTGTGTGTGGTAGAACATTTCTGTAATCCCAGCACATGGAAGGGCTGAACAGATATGACCCTGTATCACTTCACGCAGTAATTCTCATGTTTTTCAACTGGTAGCTTCCTTTTGCAGATGGATATTTATAAATTCATATATTTAACACAAATTAAATGCAAAGTTGCATTTTCTCTGGGTTGGGAAATACTGGAGAAAAAAAGAGTTGGGCTGAAAGTCTCTGCCCGGTTTGTTTCCTGTGTGCTGAGGGTAAGGGACGTGGGAGGGGGTGGGGTAAATTTAGCATTTGAAAGGAGGAAAGAGAAGGAATGGGTGTCTGCAGTTGCCTTGGGTGACTGGCAGTAGTGTGCTGCTGCCAGTCTTGGGGCGGGAAGTGTGATATCCTTTCTGACTGACTGAGAGCTGGAGAGCTGATGGTAAATGTGGGGGCATCTGTGGAGTCCTTGTCATCCAGGCTTGTGCAGGATCCAGGTCTCTGCTCAGTACTTACTCCCTTCCTGCCTCTTACTTTGGGATATGTTTTCGATGAGCTCTTCATACAGCTTCCTGTACAGGGGAAGGTCTTCTTGGGCATGGGTAGATCTTCCTGGGCAGGGGCATGCCTTGTAGAGAGCATTTGAGCGTAATCTCTACGTGGTTGTTTTTCTCCTTTGATTTTAAATGTTGGGTGATTCTTCTGTTTTGTATTGTTTTAGACCCACCTTCTCCAGATGGATCCCCTAATATTACATCTGTCAGTCACAATTCAGTAAAGGTTAAGTTCAGTGGTTTTAAAGCCAGCAATGGACCTATCAAAGCCTATGCCATCATTCTCACCACTGGGGAAGGTAAGGAGGGGCTGCAGCATGGGTTAACTCGTGTGACATAACTATCCTGGTTACTTTATTGTTGTAATAAAAGACCATGACCAAAGCAACGTATAAAAGAAAGTGTTTAACAGGTTTACGGTTTCAGAGGGTTAGATCTGTGATGGTGGAGTAAAGGTACAATGGCAGGAACATCTGAGAACTCACGTCTTGATCCACAACTAGGAAGTGTGTGTGTGTGTGTGTGTGTGTGTGTGTGTGTGTGTGTGGGTGGGTGGGGGTGATGACACACTGGGATTCACACTTGAAACCTCAAAGCCCACCCCCTAATGACACACCTCCTCCAACAAAGCCACCTGTCCTAATCCTTCCCGAACAGTTCCACCAACTGGGGACCAGGTATTCAGATGTGTGAGCCTGTGGGGGCCATTCTCAATGAACCACCACTGTGAGGGATGCTGTAACCCTGAGGTACATCAGTGACACAAGTACATGCCTCTCTATGTTGCAGCCTGTGCTTCAGCACTCACAGGGAAGGAGGCAGCTGTTTGCTTGATGCTCTAAATGATCAGGTAGCAAGTAACTTAAGCTCTCCTGGCTATGCAGTCTCTGTCACAACTGTCCAGCACCTTTGTGGTGGTATGGAAACATGTGTGGAATATCCATGAGGGATCAGAGTGGTTTACACATACGTGGTGGTTAGATTTGGCCCATAGGCTATAACTAGATAACTTAGGATGGCTTGCTCTTCTAAGCAAACACAAAATGATTGCACTTGCTAGTGGGACTCTGTGAAGGGCATCTCCTGGGTGAGAGGGGAGGGGAATTAGAATGGCTTTTCTATGCCAGTCAAAAAGGACTGATATGAGGGTATCTCTGATAGCTTCATGGGAGAGTTTTACCCAAACCAGGGCTAGGGAGATAGGTCAGATGGTAAAGTACTTGCCTTGTGCAGGCCCTGAGTTCAGTCCTTGGAACCTACATTACAGAAAGAGCTGTTCCTTGTGACATGCCCTTGTAATCCTGGTGCTGGGGAGGCAAAGGCAGGAGGATCCCTGAGCTCCCGGGCCAGTCAGCTTAGCCAGCGTGGTAAAGTTCCAGGCTAGAGAGAAACTCTGACTCAAAAAAGGTAGAAGGTGCCTGAAGAATGATAGCTGAGGTTGTCCTCTGGCTCCCACACACATATGGACACAGATGCACACAAACTAGCTCATACACATGTACCTGCACTCTGATGAACACACATAAACAAAACATGGAGATCTCTCCCTTTCTCTCCGACTTTCAAAATTTTGAGTCTGTTTCTAAGCCCTTTGTCATTGAATTTGTTTTCAACAAATTTCAAACTCAGACCCATGCTGAATGAGAAAGATCCCGTTGCATGGTGACCAGACCAGTCAGCACCAGCCTGACACAAGAAAGACATGATGGGCCAGGTGATGAGGGCTAGGAATCCAGCTTCAAGGCCCATGCAGTGGCTTTGGGCAGGTTTCTGCTAGCTCTCTGCACCTTTGTTTTTCTTGCTTGAGAATAGGGATCATAAGCTTTTGTGAAAGACTCGAGATGAAGGAATGAGGTGGCATAAGGTCCCAGAACTGCTTGAGAGGCTGTGGCCACAGGCATCGTCGCTCACCACCTGTCCCATCACTGGGCTATTTTCTGACACTTGCGTCTTCCTGCTGTCACTCATGATTTGCCTCTGTGTTCCTTTCTTAGCCGGCCAACCTTCTGCAGATGTTTTAAAGTATACATATGAAGATTTCAAAAAAGGGGCCTCGGATACTTATGTGACATACCTCATAAGAATAGAAGAGAAGGGACGTTCTCCGGGCTTGTCTGAAGTGTTGAAATATGAAATTGATGTGGGGAACCAATCCACCACCCTCGGCTATTACAACGGGAGGCTGGAGCCGCTGGGCTCCTACCGGTAATCTGGGCCCTTGCAATTGGGTGCTGAGCCTTATGAATTTAAGGTTCTTCATACTAAAGTGGTAGATACACCTCAGTTACCTCATTTTTCTCCTTTGTCCCCCCCATAGGGTGTGTGTTGCTGGCTTCACCAATATTGCCTATAACCTTCACAATGAACAACTCATCAATGGGAATGAAAGCTACGTGTCTTTCAGTCAATACTCGGAGGCCGTGTTCTTGCCTCAGGATCCAGGTAGAGGGAAACAAAAGTTCTAATATTGGTGCAGTGGGTTTTTCACCTCATGTCTGCAGGGACCTCTAGGAGGGTGGAGGTGTCTGGTTTTCTCCTCTTAGAAATTGGCATATCCCTTGGCCTTCGGGCCAGCTTAGCTTCCCACTCTGGTGTGCTCAAAAGAGCTGCTTCCCATTTCCTCTCTAAAACCAGCCACACTTGTAATCTGCAGATTCCTCAGTCCTTTGCTTTCTTTTCTAAGAGTCATTTGTGGGCCCACGTGTCAGCAAATGTGTGGCTTAGTTTAAAGAGTCTTTGGATCTTCACATTAGAAGGTGCCCCCAAAGTTGTCTTATCTAACCTCTGCATAGAAGAAACAAGGCTTCTGAGGCCCAGTGTTACACAATGGCTTAAATGAAAGCCTGAAATTCTAGCCTTAGACTCCTTGTTAAGAGCCCTTCCTACCCAGTATCACAGAATTAAATATATGGGCATTTCAGGGACCCAAGGTAAGGATTCCCCTCCCCCTCCTCCAGGATGTAGACACAGTGGCTGACTGGCCTGTTCATTTGTTTTTCATAGTTACTGAATAGAACAGATAACCCAGAAGCAAAATTCAGGGAGTCCCTACTCCTCCCTTTAAATAGCCCATATAAAGGGAGGTTCCATGCTGTGTGTGTGTGGTGTTGTAGGTACTTCTGCTCATAGATGATGGGAAAATCCACTAATCTAGCTCTCTCAGGTCACCAAATTTGCAGCTGAACCAAGACCTAGCCAGGGGTTTGTGATAGTCTCAGGTTCATCCTGCTAATGGCAGGCTCAGGGTGAAGAAACCAGCTCTTGAAAGTTGGTTGTAATTTTATGTCCAAAGATACCAACTTTTCTGCTGTGTGCACCACACCCCCTTTCCCCCTGAATCCTTTGTGGGTTGCTTGTTGTTGTAGCACCTGGCCCTTCGTGAACACCAACTGAAATGCCTCTTGTTGGGACCTTCCCCAGGTGTCATCTGTGGAGCAGTGTTCGGATGTATCTTTGGTGCCCTGGCCATTGTGGCTGTGGGAGGCTTCGTCTTCTGGAGAAAGAAAAGGTGATACTGCTTATTTAGTCACCATGTACCACTGTTTAAGGAAACCTTTCATCGTAAGGAGTTGGAACCAGACTTAACTCCTCTCTGACTCCAGTGGGTGGTTTGATTCTGAGCCTCACCCTAGCCACCCCCTCATGCTGTGCCGGATGCTGCCTTCAAGCGGGGGTCCTGAAAATGTGTTAAGGATTTCATACGATTTTAGAGTTGGCCAACTTCAAACGTAGGTTCCACCCTTGCTAGCTGTTGGAAGTGGCTTAGCCTTAAAGTCCGTCCTCTGTGGTTTGGGAGTGAGTGCTTGACTCAAGGAGCTGAGAAGTGTTGGAAAATGTCTCACTCCATGTCTTTTTACCGATTATTTTCTTTCTACCACCACGCTGTGATATAGTTAATTAGTGAAAAGCAGCAGTTTCATTTTGGGTGCCCCCTGCTTCATGACCTTCCCAAGGCTCTAACAGGCAGGTCTAAAAGCCCTTCTGGGGATGCAGAATCAGTGTTGGAAGCACCAGAAGAGGAACTTGAACTTGGTCTTCGCACTTCCTCTTGCCTGACTGTGGGATTCATTTACTACCAGGTGCTTCTAGCTGGAAATTTCCATCTGGGATTTGGCTTTCTCAACATCCTCCTCTCCCCCCTTTTTTTGAGCTAGAGTCTCATGTAACTTAGGCTATTTCAAATGTAGCAGAGGGTGACTCATCCTTCCGCTCTGTCTACCGAGTGATGAGGTTATAGGCATGTGCCACGGTAGTTGTTTTACCTTTCTCCTAAATCAGATACGGTTGCATCTCGTCCTATCAATTAAATCTTTTACACTTTACTAAAAAATGAATCAGAACCTAGTGTAAAAGCTGGAATGTCAGTAGTCAAGTCAATAGGGCACAGGGAGCCAGGTCCCAGTAGGAAGCTAGTGGCAAGAATTAGAGCCACACAGTGGGACCTGTCTCAAAACAACAAGTAAACCACCAAACCCAAAACTCAAACCCCTGGTGGTAAAAACAAAACAAAACAAAAAACAAAAAACAAACAAACAAAAAACAAATCCCTCCCCCCCAAAACCAAAAACACCCACAAGAAAAGCAAAGAAATTCGGTAACCCGTAATTACAGCAAATCTGCTCTTAGCATTTTCATGTGAACATGGTGCTCACTCCAGTAGAGTTGTGACACATTAATGTCTCCCCTGCTTTGGTTACGTAAGACCTGATGGAGGGCTTTATTTCAGTATCGTTTTAAGTAGCTGGCAAGTGTTTACCATTGTTGATTTAACCATTCTACTGGCTATTTAAATGACTTTTGACTACAGTTGCATGTCCTTTTACCTAACCTTTGGGCATGCTCACGATTATTTCCCTAGGATAAATTCCAAACAGGACACTTACTGGGTCAGTGGGCATACTTCCCCCACCCCCCATTTTGTTACATGCTGCCCAATTGCAGTTTGTTTCAGCACCAGGTGGAGCTGAGCCAACAATGCAGGTGCTCACAGTGGCAGTATTGGATCAGACTCTGTTTTCAGGGCTTTCCCTGTCTCTGTACTAATGGCTTTTACAGTAAGGGAATGTAAACACACACACACACACACACACACACACACACACACACACACTCTCTCTCTCTCTCTCTCTCTCTCTCTCTCTCTCTCTCGCACACACACACACACACACACACACTCTCTCTCTCTCTCTCTCTCTCTCACACACACACACACACACACACACACACAACTCCTAAAAGTTGCTCTTGTAGATTTTTGATTCGTCTCAGTTTCCTGCTTGGCCTGTTAGGTTGAACATTCGTGAGCAGGGTTATGTTGGCGGGGTACTGGTGAGCAGGCTTTCATTTGACTTAAGCCACCACTTGGGAAGAAGGTGGCTGTGGATACTTGAAAGGTGACAGAGCAGGATGAAGGTCTTTGTCTAATGGGCCTTTTTTTCTTTTTCCCTTTCAAAATAGGAAAGATGCCAAAAATAATGAAGTGTCGTTTTCTCAAATTAAGTAAGTCTGAATTAGAAATCTATTTTAAGATTCTCAGTCCCCCAGTCTGTTCAGTGACTATCTAAAGTATTTTTTGATAGAAATAGCTGACATTTTCCCTGACTGACAGATCGGCCACCATCATCTGAAAGTTCTTGCTGTTTTCTGCAAGGAGTCTTTGTTTTACTGTCCTCCTGAAGTTACCTTCATTTTTGTTTCCCTACATGCCTTTCAGTTTTACTGATAAATGGGGTTCCCTGTGTGTGCCTAATGTACCCCTGTGTGCAGGTATGCATCCCCATGAGTGCCCAGAGGCTGGAAGGGGATGGCTCTTATCGATACCCGCTGTGGTCCCTTGAGACAGTGCTTCCTGCTAAATTCAGAGCTATGCTGGCAAGCAGCCACCCTCTGTCATCCTCCTGTCCCTATCCCGATCCAGCCCAGGGTTACGGGTGCATGTGGCTACACCTGCTTTTATGTGTGGGTGCTGAGGATGGGGACTCAAGTCCCCAGGCTTGAGCAGCAGGCTCTCTGACCCACTGAGCTGTCTCCACAGTGCCCCCACAGGGAAATTGTCCTGTTTTACAAAAGTGAGGGGATTGTCAGGAGCTGAGGAAAAACAGTTATTTCAAGTCACAAATATGAGCAGTTACAGGATAGGGCTGCTTTCCTGATTTGCAGTTCAGTGTTTTTTTTTTTTTTTTTTTTTTTTAAATAACATTACATTAGTCTCCAACCCACACCCCTCACTGTGTCTGGCTTTGTTCTTTTGAGTTGATGCTTACTTCTAAACTGAGTACATCTTTCTAACTGGTTATTTTTTTTCTTTTTCCTTTCTATGATGAAGACCTAAAAAGTGAGTAGCTTCATTTTTATCTTCCATTTTTATGTTTTGAGTATGAACTTAATTGAATGAAAAAGTAAGCAAAAATTAAAAACCCAATGAGTTTTTATTTATTTATTTCCTTAGATCCAAGTTAATTCGAGTGGAGAATTTTGAGGCCTACTTTAAGAAGCAGCAAGCTGACTCCAACTGTGGGTTTGCAGAGGAATATGAGGCACGTGGTCGTAAACTGTTTTGTATTATGGGAAAGCTTTGGGTGAGAGGCAGCCTAGAGGGGAGAGAAGACTATGCCTGGCCCTCTGGGACACCCTGCTCCTGCTGTTGGCTAGAAAGTTCACTCAGGCCTTCGCTTCTTGTGGAACATGTGCTTAAACTTGTGGCTACCTGAAGATTGGCCAGAGAGAGACAGAAATGGGGCATTGAAGCTAGGGGACCATTTACTAGGGTCATTGATAAGCTGTATGAGCAATAAAGAAGCCAGATGGGCCATTTTCAGGGGCTTGACAGCTGTGCGATCAAAGGTGACCCTGGGCTTTACTAGTCTCTTGCCTTTCAGGCTACTTTCTGTTCCCCAAACTAGCCCAGGAGTTGTCCTCACTGGGAAAGGGCATGCACGCTTGTTCCCCACATAGTACCCCTGTTGCAGTCTACTTTTGTATCCCCGGAATTCTGCATCACAGTCTATCCTCAGTTCCGACACTGCCTCCTCCCCATGCCTCAGATCCCATAGGGAGGATTCAGTCTATGTTACATTTGTTCTAGTGCCTGGCGCTGTCTGTGGTCTGTGTGCCTCACTCTGCCTTGCCAGGCTAGTGACTCCTGAGTATCCAGCCTCTAGAAGGCAAAAATCCTCCTTTTCCTTTCATTTTTACCTCTAGTTTCTTAAGGTGGCTGAAGACAAATATACTGTTTCACTGTTCAAGAGGCCCAAAGTCAAAGTGTCAGCAGGACATGCTCTTCCTTAGCCTTTTGGGAAGATCCTTCCACACTTTTCCCTGTTTCTGGAAGTCCTCATTGTCCCTTGGTTTGGGGAAAGCATGGCGTCCATTTCCACCACCCACTACCATTGCCACCATGAGGTGTTTCCTCTTGTGTGTCTGTATCTCTGGACCCATATTATAGCAGCATTGCCCCTATTAGGTTAGGGACCCACCCTATTCCAGTGTGACTTCATTTGACTTGATTGCATCTTGCATGGCCATATCCCGTAAGAGCCTACTTGTAGATGTTATGGAGGTTAGACGCTCAGCATCTCTTTCCAGTTAGCAGTAGTTAATCTGTTCTGCCTCTGCATTCCTACTTTGTTCTACCCTGTACCCAATTAAATATACAACTCACTTACTTTGTTTTCAGGATCTGAAGCTGATTGGGATAAGTCTACCTAAGTATACAGCTGAAGTAGCGGAGAACAGAGGGAAGAATCGCTATAACAATGTCCTGCCTTGTGAGTGATTTTCATTCTTGTCTTCCCTTTGTCTGGCACTAGCCATCACATCTTGAACAGTAGAGAGGCGGGGAATCAATGATACCCACTTGCTATCTCCACTAGATATTCCCACAAGCATTTACCTAGCATGAGCCAAGTACTCTGTGAAGAGTATTATATTTAACTTCATCCTAACAACTTCAGCTTGTAGAGTAGATGGTGGATTCATTTCACAGGTGAAGAAAATGAGCCACTGTGTTAGGTGAGCCATTCCGAGTTGCATTCTTATTCTAGTTTGTATTGTTCTGGATGAAAGGGGCAGCAGGAGAAACAGGTCCAGGGTCACACTCTCTCTTTGCCCAGATCTTTGATTTAGCCATGGTCCACAGCTAAATGACAGTCACACTGAAGTCCTTTCCTGCTTTTGGGAATTGCCAATGTCTGTACTTGGGCTGATCGGTTTGACTCAGCCTAGAATCACTTGGAAAGGAGAGTCTTTGTGAGGAATTATCTAGGTCAGGTTGGCCTCTGAGATGTCTCTGGGAGGTTATTTTGATTGTTAATTGGTGGTAGAAGACCTAGCCCATTGTGGGCAACGCCATTGTGTAGGCAAGGGGTTCTGAATGGTCTAAGAGGGAGAAAGCATGCTGAGAGAGTAAGCAAGCAAAGGTCCATGTGTTTGTTCTCTCTTTGCTCTTGCCTGTGGAGGTGGTACTTTAAGTATCCTGCTTGACTTCCTCAAGATGGATGTGATCTGGAATTGTAAGCCATGTAAACCCTTTCCCTCTCCTGTGCACTTTTAGTTAAGGTGTTTATCACAACAAAAGAAATAAAACCAGAATAGCACTTACCCAACAAGGTGAGGGCAAACTGAAGTACAGAGGAGGGTCAGTCATGTGAACTCTACTATGGGAAGTCTGTTGGTAGGGCACAGAGAGGGGTGTCAGTGATCTTAGCCATGCTCTGATCATCCTGAAGGTGCTTGGTTTTGTGGGTGACTTTTACATCAAGCCATTTAGTGACTTAGTCTTTTTTATTTGAAGCCATGCTTTTTTTTTTCTTTTCAGATTTTTTTATTTGAATTAGAAACAAGATTATTTTACATGACAATCCCAGTTCCCTTCTCCCACCCGTCCTCCCCTACCACCACTACCCCCAACTAAAACCCTACCGATCACATGTCCTTTCTGCTCCCCCTGGATGGTGAGGCCTTCCACAGGGTGTCATCAGAGTCTGTCATGTCCTTTGGGATAGGGCCTAGGCCCACCCTGGTGTGTCTTTGCTCAGGGAGTAAAAGTCCACACCTATGCTAGGGAGAAGTACTGAACTACAGGAGGTCCTGTAGATTTCTGAGGTTTCCTCACTGAAACCCATGTTCCTGGGGTCTGGATCAGTCCCGTGCTGGTATCCCAGCTATCAGTCTGGGGAGCAAGAGTTCCCTGATGTTCAAGTCACTTGTTTCTGTGGGTTTCGCCAGCCTGGTCTGGACCTCTTTGAAACCATGCTTTTCTACTAACTTGTATTTTAAACTCAGTATTTTTTAGGTCATGGGTTCCTTTTCTGTTTCTTCCCTTATACTTGTCAATGGGTCTTGGCCCTGATCAGAGAGAAGTGCTTTTGAAGTCATGCTGGGGGAGCTGCCATACCTCTACCCTTCTGAAACTATCTCAGACCTTTGGCCTGCTCTATGAGAGCTTCGGATCTGGAGCAAGGGCTGGGATTTGGTGTCTGGACAGTGTTTCTATTGAGGAGAACTTTCACTCGAGACACATAGCACTGCTGGGTTTGCTATTGCTTTGCTACTGTGTCCCAGGGAGAGCAAGGCAGTGGATTTGGTTGGGGACAGGGAGCTGTCCTTGATGCCCATGACTAATCCTAACATTTGGAATTTCTCAGTTATTTCTGCATCTGGCATTGGGCAAGTTTGTGTGTATGCTTTCTAAATGAGGGTGATATTTAGAAAATATATGAAATTGGCATTTTAGACCCCTCTATTCATAGTAATTTTATGCATTCAGTTTAGTCTTAAATTTAGAGGGGTGGTGTGTGTGTGTGTGTGTGTGTGTGCCCTTGGAGGCCAGAGGTTGATGTTGGGTTGTTTTTCTCCATTGCTGTCTGCCTTTTTTTTTTAATTGAAAATACTTTTTTTTTTTTTAAATACAATCTGTTCTAATCACACTTTTTTTCCTTCCTCATCTTCCCCCAGGTCCTCCCCACCCATTCATTTTTGAGACAAGGGTCATTCTTGATCTTGGATCTTCATGATTCAATTAGATTAGCTTGCCATGGAGCCCCAAGAAGCCTGTTTCCCCCTCTCCAGTGCAGGGATTATAGGTGTGCATTGTGGGTAGTAGGGTTTTGAACTTAGGTCCTTACATTTGTATGGAAAGCACTATACTGACAGAGCCATCTCTACAACTCCAAATTTAGAACTTTATCTGTCTGTCCATCCGTCCATCTGTCTGTGGTCCGTCCATCCATCTATCTTTGATTTATTGATTGTCTATATGTATGGGTATAGATGTGGCATGGCACGTATGTGGATGTCAGATCTCTCCCTCCATCATGTGGGACTTGGGGGGGGTCAAACTCAGGTCATCTGTCTTGGCAGCAAGCTTTAATGCCTGTGCCATCTCACTAGCCTTGTAACAACTTTATAAGGCAGTGGAGAAAGGTTAACTTGGATGTCTTTTCTGCCATAATAGAATAGGCTCTGAGTTCAGATTCTGTCTGTTGTTTCCCCAGATAGAAGGACTTGGAATTGTCACTTCATCACTGAAACTCCTGATTTCTTTATCTCGAAAGCTTGTGAGATAGATGGTTTTGAGGTGTGAGTATGGTTGCTTAGCAGCTGTCCTGCTTGAAACAGACACCCAAGGCTGCTGGGAGTACAGGCTTGTTTAGTCTTAGAAGGTATTGAGGACATAGGCCATGTTGCCAGGCCGCCTAGGTTACAATCCTAAGGTTCTCCTTAGGCTGTCACACAGCTTCTCTGCACCGCAGTCATAGAATCCACAAGTATCCGATGAGACTGTGAGTATACGATGTGAGCAGCCTGTCAGCCGAGGGATACCAGTTTGTACTTCTAAAAACTCCCTGTGTGCAGATTTCCTGAAACTCAGCTTCGAATGAGGATCTTTCTTTCTTTTAATGCCACAGATGATATTTCTCGAGTCAAACTTTCAGTCCAGACCCATTCGACGGATGACTACATCAATGCCAACTATATGCCTGTAAGTGGTGGCTGCCCTCAGCCCCGGGGGCTCCTCTGAACAAGAGCATTTTTTTTCTGTGTCTTTGATGATGATTGAGCTTTCTATTTCTAGGGCTACCATTCCAAGAAAGATTTCATTGCCACACAAGGACCTTTACCCAACACTTTGAAAGATTTTTGGCGTATGGTTTGGGAGAAAAATGTATATGCCATTGTTATGTTGACCAAATGTGTAGAACAGGGAAGGGTAAGTATCTTTTGAAAAAATATATAAGTTTTTATTGTGGTAGAGTGTATCTTAATATCCATTTGTCTCTTAAAAAGCACCCTTCCCTTCCTAAATGTTAACACCCTCATCCTTAGAAAATATTCTCTATTTTTAGCTTTTAGAGAGAAGGTTTTAAAAGAATCTTGGAAAAAAACCATTCTGTGATGTTTCTTTGTGGGCTCGTATTGATGTCTGTGATTGTATCTCTGCTGGAGTTAGTGAGTGGATGTAACAGGGTTAGTGCAGTGGACACTGCAGGCCTGGAGTGAGGTATCTGAGACCCCACGGCTCTGCGGTCATCAGTTCTGCTCCTGTAAAGCCTGCCTGTCCCGTCTCTAAGCAACCACTTCTAAATCTCTTATTTTCAAACTTAGTTTTTGACACTAAATGAAACATTTCATACTTATCCCCAGGCAAGTCCCAGCAGCCCTCTCTCTTCTTGTGTGGCCTGGAACCCTCCTACCATTTCTGTCACAGATAAGATCTCTTCTAGGAATAAAATCTCATGTTTCCATAAATAGAGATGAGTTGAAAAACACATGCTAAAGTAAAATATTGTGTGCCTGAAGAATGAGAATTAATATTACTTCATGGAGAATTATTAATTACTATTATAATTTAGTATTGGCATTGGATCTAGGGCCTTGACCTCACTAAATGTGTACTGTGCTGCTGAACAATACCCAGCTATCAGTGTTTTGTGTTTTGTTTGGTTGTTTGATTTTGAGACAGGGCTTTTTTCTTAGACCAGGCTAGACTTGAACTTGTAGTAATCCTCCTGCTTCAGCCTCTTAATGGCTGAGTTTACAGACATGAGCTTCCATTCCTGGAATAGGGAATTCCTTTTTCTTTCTTTCTTTCTTTCTTTCTTTCTTTCTTTCTTTCTTTCTTTCTTTCTTTCTTTCTTTCTTTCCTTCCTTCCTTCCTTCCTTCCTTCCTTCCTTCCTTCCTTCCTTCCTTCCTTCCTTCCTTCCTTCCTTCCTCCTATCCCTTTCCTGAAGAGTGTGATTCCCACACCTCCCTATCTGCCAGAGCTATCCACAGGGTGTTTTTCTGTCTCAGCCCCCCTTGTTGAGAAGTGGGGTTCTGACCGCTTCAGAAGTGGTATGGCTGCTGATGGCCAGGTGTTCACCATGAGCAGTGCTCTCCAGGGTGGTAACTGGAACTTGTCAAACATCATTCCTTATAATTGATTTTTGTTATGTTGTGTGTATGATGTGTATATGTGTGTTGCAGGGTGTACATGCCACAGCAGATATGTGGTCAAAGGTCAGCTTCCATGTGATGTTTCTTGAAATGGGATCTGAGTACTGGATGCAGGTCTTTGGGCTTGAAAAAACCAGATTCATCTTTCTTAAAGATGTGTTTATAGTATTTGGAATTATTAGTACATGTGTTGGGTGAGACAGAACCTGCTGAGGGACTGAGCAGTCCCAGGTCATGCTTATGCTTCCTCGTGAGTCTTTGTTAATGGTGAGGGCGTGATTCCTGTGTCTTCATACAACCAATCCTGTGTTCTAGACCAAATGTGAGGAGTACTGGCCTTCCAAGCAGGCTCATGACTACGGGGACATAACTGTGGCAATGACCTCAGAAGTTGTTCTTCCGGAATGGACCATCAGAGATTTCGTGGTGAAAAATGTAAGTCAACACTGACCTGAGAAAATTATTGTCTATGAATTGGGAATGATATCTATAGGTTGGAAATAACTAATATTTGATACATGAGAAAAGTGTTTTTTGCTTCCTATTTTTTTATACAATTAAAATGCCCACATCTACATGCTCTCTAAGGAGCCCCTAGCTTTACTTTTTTGATGGGACTTTTGTGTCCTTCCTGAATAAATTAGTCTTAATGAGAGCATGGCTGTGTCAGTGACACTCTACTTATTTCCAGGTGATCAGAGAGAGGCCTTTTGGGTCATCTGGGTAGGGATATGCATTGGGGTGGGTGGTTGCTGCTAGGAACAGTTTATATTAATTCCATGCTTCACATTCCAGGCCATATGCACTGTACTCCCTTTCCCCCAAAAGTTATAAAAATAAATCCAGCTAAATCATACAGACATTCTAGGAACTGAGTTTACTTTTCACTTTTAGTAGAGAAAGTGCTCAGAGTCAGCTTTAATATCTGCTGCTGAGCGTGCAAATGGCTTTAACATTTTCCAGCTCATACTGGGTCTAAAAATGTTCATCCCTTTTGATCTGGTGGGCTTAAGTTTGAGTCTCTGATTGTAAGGAAATAATGTGAAATTCAGGAATGCGCTCATTAGTTATAGATAAGCATTGTTTATTAGTTATTAGTATTGGTAATTAGTCACAATCTCAGTGTTATTTTTAGAAGGTTGTTTATTTAGAAGGAACAACTTCTTTAAGAAATGAGTAAACTTTTTCTTTTTCTTTTTCTTGGGTGTATGTCCAGTGTCTGCTGTTTTATTATCATATGTTCTTTGATAATTTCACATATACACACAGATTATTTAGATCATACTCACCTCATCAGCATTTTTGTGGTGGTCGAACAATTTGGAAACCACATGCATAGCCAGCTTTTGGTGAATGGATAACTAAACTCTGATTTATGTGCAGACTGTGTCATCCAGTTTTTAGCCATCCTGTGTGCATGTAGATGACATACAGCCAGCCCTTTCACCTCTGCTGCTTGGTTCAGCTGTAAATTCAGCCAACCTGGGATTGAACATATTCAGAATAAAAATAGTATTTGTACTTAACATGTACAATTAGGCCCATCATTTCCTACATCATGCAATATGGTATAACAATATTTAAAATATAATAGTATAGCAATAGTGTAACAATTATTTAAAATACACTATGTAATATAGTTTAGAAATGATCTACAGTGTAATCACGTGTTGTTGAATGACAGGTGTATTCTGAGGAATGTGTTTGTATGAACATCATGGACTGTACTTAAACCTAGATAGTATAGCTTACTATGCACTTGGGCTATGTAGTGTATATTGTCATATGTGTATATGACTGTGCACAGGCGTGTGTGTGCAGGTTGCATGCACACATGGTTGTATTACTTTGGGAACCCAAACATTCACAGACTTTCCTGGGATCAATCCACATGGATCCCAAGGAATGACTGTAATTACCATGAGAAGATGTGAAAAGGTGTCAGTGATACATCCTAGGAGACCAAGTTTTAAGATAGTGTCTTAGTAGGTAGCCAAGGCTGGCCTTAAACTCACAAACCTCTGCCTTAGCCTTAGTACTGGAACTATAGGTGTGTGTGTGTGTGTGTGTGTGTGTGTGTGTGTGTGTGTGTGTGTGTTTGTGTAGAAGGAGAGAGAGAGCTGGGAGAGTGCATAGTGTCTGGAAGAGGACACGGGTTGTCCTGCACTATCATTCTCCACCTATGCCTTTGAGACAGGGACACACACATACCTACATACATCCAGATACAGTGCATAAAAGATAAGCCTATAAGTAGATTCAGTGGTGTTATATTTTAACAGGGCTGATAGATTGTGTCATAGTTTGTAAGGATGAATCAATCTTAAAGATTCCTGAAGACATAGGTAAGGCACAGTGTATGAGATACTAATTCTTACTAGTTACTGGGTCTCAAAGACTCTGGCCTCAGGAGGTATTTCAGGTCCTCCTTTGGAGACATTGAGCACACAGTGGCGTGACCACCTCACTAAATAAGGTCACAGCCAGTGAGAAATCTTTGAAATATGTCATGCTTATTTCTGCAGGCTTTGCCCATTTAAGTTGACTGGCATTTTGCTTCTGTTTGGTGTTCACTGGGGAGTTGTGCATAGAACTGACCAAATGATTAAAGAAAATACTATTGCTCTCGTTGTGTATATATTAAAGAAGCTCTACAGAGTCAAGAGATTACATGTTCCGCTCTGAAGGCTTTTCTTATTTTCGGATCCAATATAGCCTTCCACATGGCATTTTTTAAAATAGTGTTTTGTAATTATATGAAATGCATGCATATATTTCCTTTTATAGAACAAGAACATTACAGATAGAGCTTCACTTTCTTTTGACTACCGCCCCTAGTCTGAGCCCCCTGCCTCCTGCCCACCTGCTCTCCTGCCCCTGCTTTCCTGCTCCCTGTCCCTCTGCAGAACTACTCCCAAGAAGTTCTACTTTCCACTGTTTCTTTGTGTCTCCTTCGCTGCTCCTCTCAGCAAAACCTAATAATAACATTTATGATGTTGGTTATCTGCGGTGAGGCTCTCCAGTGTCCTCTCTCCTATTTCTCAAACTTTGAATAATGTAGATTTATTGATTTTATAATGAATAAACATTAAAGATTAACTACAGTGATGGAGATGCTCAGTGCCCAACTGTGGGGGACATTTGTAAGGTCAGGTACAGACAAATGAGTATAGTTGAATCAAGGGCTGGAAGGGACATGGCTGGCCCCAGAAGCAGAGCTTTGGTAATTCCAAGCACATGCTTGGTCTAAGGTTGAATGCAAACTGGGGTGATTGACTAGATTTGTTATAATAGTGTTCACTGTCTTCTGCCTGCCAGATGTTGAAGTAGCAGACTGTGAGTCTGTGTGTGTGTGTGTGTGTGTGTGTTCGTTCCTTTCTTAGACCTCTATAGTTCTAACTACTAGTTTGGTGTTTGGTGGTTGTGTGTCCCATAGATTATCTGGAAATCCCAGGACTTAACAGATGGCTTTTGCCCACAAGGTGCTGACCTTCTGACCATACTTAGGGAAATGATTTGGGGATTTAAGGGAAGTGCCATGGGCTGTAAGATGGGGCTCCCAGGAGGAGCAGGTGTGTGAGTGTGGGGCTCTTACAGGCTGGTAGCTGAGAATAGAAGTGATATAAAATCAGAATTGAGCTGAGTGTGTTGGATCCATGTGAGATGAGCACGGGGGTGGGGGGATGGTGAGTGGGGGAGTAGGGGGTTGGCCACTCCCATTTCCCATGAACCTCTGCTGCCCGTCTTTAGTGGGAGATATGAAGCTCTTCCTTCCTGGGACTGTTATGAGGATTTGGTGATCAAATGTGCTGTGATTGGAATTTCTGATTGGAACTGTTCCTGTGTGGCTGCCTGTTGTACGCTTGTGTGATACAGTTCTCTGACACTGCTTGACTTCACTCGTTGTGATATTGTTGGTTAGTCTTACTCTCTAGGCCTCTAACCTGTTTTGCTGGCTTCTAGATGCAGACAAGTGAGAGTCATCCTCTGCGGCAGTTCCATTTCACCTCCTGGCCTGACCACGGTGTTCCCGACACCACTGACCTGCTCATCAACTTTCGTTACCTGGTCCGAGACTACATGAAGCAGATTCCCCCTGAATCACCAATCCTGGTGCATTGCAGGTATACACAGTTGGCAGCTCATGTGACAACTTAAAATACAATGATATTTATGAGCGCCACCTCCCAAAGCAACACCCAAGAGGAAATGCGATAGGTAATTGGAAACTCAAGGATAGTCTGCAAGAGAAGACCAGGGACTTAGTCACTGGCCAATGAAGAAAGGAGTTGGCAAGCTATATAACCCGTGGGCCAGACAGGGTTAGTGGCTTGTTTTTATGTATATAACCTCATTGGAACACAGTCACGTCCACCTGTATGTATCGTTTACATTGCTTTTATACTGCAGTGGCATGGTCTGCTAAGCTGAAGATATTTGGCATCTGGTCATTTACAGAAAGGGTGAGCATGCTCCTACAGTAGAACAGTAAGTATTTAGCAATTAAAGACCAAAGAATTAATTTAGAGCAGGGGCTTCATAACTAGGTAGAACTTTTGTCTGAGGCTATAGGCCCATTTGAGTGGCATGGAGTATGAGGTGGTTTAGCAAGATGTTTTGTTTGTGACATTTTTCACTGGAAGATGCAGTTGAACAACAATGTTTGTGTTAGCTCCAAACAGTGATAATGGAGATATGGGTATCATTGGGGGAACTGAGATAAGCTCATGGTGATGAGCTCATGTCTCTGTTTTCTAGTGCTGGGGTCGGAAGGACAGGCACTTTCATTGCCATCGATCGTCTGATCTACCAGATAGAGAATGAGAACACCGTGGATGTGTATGGTATTGTCTATGATCTTCGGATGCACAGGCCTCTGATGGTGCAGACAGAGGTGAGGCCCCATCTGTGTTTGACATTCTGCCCTTCCCATCTGTCTCTAAAACATCATATGGAGTCACACGCTTGGCTTAAAGTATTAACCTCTTGTAGGTATTTCTGGCTCTTGTTTGTTAATTTCTTTGTAGATCCTAATTAAATCATCTGACACAACAGCACCAGTGGACCCGCGTGTGCAGATAGTGCTCTTATCAGGAGTCCTTACAGCTTCTGACTTTGAAACAATCCTTAAAACGAAGAGATTGTTTATTTTTATTTTGTGTGTATGGGTGATTTTGCCTGTATGTCTGTGGATCACATGCTTGCAGAGGACAGAAGAGAGCATTGGATTCCCTGGAAATGGAGTTACAGGTAGTTGTGAGCCACCATGTAGGTGATGGGAATCAAACCCTTGTCTTCTGCAAGACCTCTGCAGTGTTCTTCACTACTGAGCCATCTCTCCAGCCCTCAAATGAATCTTTTTAAGTCTTTCGGCTTTGTTTCCAGATTTTAAATTTATAAGGCTGGTAGTTTTGGGGCTTTGTTTCTAAGAAGATCTGACCGTCTTTAAGCTAACAGAACAGATGACTTACCAAATTTTAATGGTGGGAAATAGCACATTGCCGTTGAAGTACAAATGCCTCAACTTATCCTTGCATGTTAAAGAATCAGCTATGGAAGGATGACTGAGCAGTGAGAAAACATACGCTCAGTATGGACTGTGATGTGTGTTTGTTCTTCCTTGGTAAGCTCGTATCTGAGGCACGTTCTCATCACAGTGTGGTGGGAAGAGGCCTCCTCAGAGGTGGATATTCCCGGACCAGGATGAGAGCAGAATATTCATTTTGTTCCGGGCTGTTACCCTGTACCAATTTAGAAACTTATGAATATGTGCTGTGTTTGAGTCTGGCAGGGAGTGTTCTAGAGGTCTGGGTACACTGTGTGCTTTCGGATGGGTTGCATGATTGTGAGAGAAAGAATGAAATTATGCTTCTGTGGTAGATATTCATTTTTCTGCTATAGTTTTAAAGAGTGAGAAGAACAGAAATCTTATTATCGTCTGCAGAGTCTTCTCTCATGTCACTTTTCCCATTTTTGTGCACGTGCATGCATGCGTACATGTGTGTAATTGTCCTAGATTACTCTTCCACCTTATTTAGTGATGCAGAGTCTCACAATTAAACCCAGAGCTTGAAAATATGGCTGGTCTAGTTAACTGACTTGCTCTGGGGTCACTCCCTTCTTCCGAGACAACACCCACCCAGCGTTTCTATGGGTTTTGTAGAGCTGCCATTTAGTCCTGCTGCTGTGTGGCAAATGCTTTAACCACTCATCCACCTCTCCAGCCCCCTGATAGCTTTTTCCTATTTAAAAAAAATATATTAAAATTAACACTGTAGGACTACACAGGTTACATTTCCCACTTCTTTTCCTTCCCTAACCCTACCTCCTAGAAGAAGGCCATATTCACCTTTAGTTTAAGTTGTGGTTTGAATTCCCATGACCCCCCAGGCTCATGTGTTTGAACAGCTGGTGGTGCCACTTTGAAAGGGTTTGGATCCTTTAGGGAGCAGCGCCTTGCTGGAGGAAGTGGGTCACTAGAGGCGGGCCTTAAGGTTTTATATCTGTGTTCCATTTCCTGTCTGCCCTCTGCTTCCTGACTGTGGATGCAGTGTGACCAGCTAACTGATGCTCCTGCCACCATCCTCTCCCAGCCATGATGGTCTGTGAGCTGGAAGAAACCCTTCTTCCCTTAAATTGCTTCTTGGCAGTTAATTGGTCATGGCAACAAGAGAAGTAACTGGCACAGCAGGCGTCCAGTAGGACGCTGTCCACGCTGTGAATATGTGCACACATACATATGTGGAATACTTGGAAAAGATCAGATTATGTTTTATATATAACACTTCCTAATGAGATTTCTTGTTACACCTGGTTATTTTTCTGTGTTGGCATATACTTCCTTTACTTAAACAACTACCTATAGATTCCCATTAGCTTGTAATAGTTACATTTTCAAAAACTTGCTATGCTGAAGTTGGTTTTACCACAGGGTTTGGGGTCCAGTCCATCATGGAAGGGAAGGTGTATTAATGAGAGTGTCTCTAAACTATGACAGTGGTAGGATGACGTGGCTGGTCACATTCTGCCTACAGTTAGAAAGGAGGGAGGTGACTGTTGGTACTCAGCTCCCTTTCTCCATCTCACTCACTCCAGACCTCAGCCCCTAGGATGGAGACTCCCACATGTGACTTCACTCTTCAGATAATCCTCTCTAGCGATGCCCTCATACACACCCAGAGGTGTGTCTCCTAGGTGATTCTAAATATCATTCAGTTAACAATTGAGATTAATCATCACACTTCCCTAAAGAATGGTCCCCACTCAGGTCCCCACCCTCCTTTAATCCTTTTCTTCTTTGGAGAATTAAGTTTACTCTTAGTCCATACAGATTCCTTCACCATGGAAATCTCGCTGGACTTTTATTGTCTGAACATATTTATTTCCTCTGCATCTTTGTCTCACTGTCCCCAAGGTTCTGATTTTTCCTTGGTCAGGAAAGGTGAGGATGCCCCTCTGGTTAAGTGTCACTGATTTGTTAAGCCATGATTTGTGGTCTTGATGTTTGGTCAGGATATTCTTAGATCCTGAGATGTGTTAATTTGAACCCTTGGCTGCTGGGTGGATGGCGTTTGGGGGTTATATGGTGGTGGTTATTGAGTGCTTATCCCTGGGACCGGTGCTTATTGGTTCTCTTTCCTTGCCTTTTCTCCCAGGACCAGTATGTTTTCCTCAACCAGTGTGTTTTGGATATTATCAGAGCCCAGAAAGACTCAAAAGTTGATCTCATCTATCAGAACACAACTGCAATGACAATCTATGAAAACCTCGAGCCAGTGAGCATGTTTGGAAAGACTAATGGTTACATCGCCTAGTTCCAAAGCAAACCCTTTCTGAAGTTAACCAGACCGCCACACCCACAGTGAAGGAAAATGCCCTGATGTGGACATGTTTTTATATGTCTCATTTCTCAGTTCTTTGTTCTGTTCTGTTAGAACTACCTTGGAGGGCATGAGGCTGTGCGTGAAAAACATGGCAGATAGGGAGTTGGGGCTGTCAGGAGCTATGGACAGGTGGTGTGTAAATCAGCTGCATTCCTGATTACCAATGGGATGGGTTTACTTTTTTCCCCCTTGAGAATTGTGGAAAACCAGGAAAAGTGAGCTACGATTTTATTTTTCTTTTCCAAACAGGTTCGTTCTCTCTCTCTCTCTCTCTCTCTCTCTCTCTCTCTCTCTCTCCCTCTCCCTCCTTTATCTCTCTCTAATTTTTTTAGGACTTTTATATGATTCACATGCTAAAGCCAGGATTATGTTGGGTTGAATATATTTTAAGTATCAGAGGTCTATTTTTACCTACTGTATCTTGGGATCTAGCTGATGGAAATACATGACTGTGGGTGTTTATCATGCAGGGAGGGGCACATGGTGCCTTTTCTGCATGGGTTTCTATTTGAACATGTGCCTTTTTTGAATTATGCTTCCATGGGCAAAACTCAGTAGATATCTCTATTTTTATATTGACTCTCATAATTGGAATATACAGAATATTTAAATAGTAGCTTAGTATCAGAGTTTGCCTTCTCAGTAACATTCCTGTTCTCATTTGATTAGAGGAGGCTTTCTCTTTGACCCACCCTTGACATACATTTGTGCTCCATTTTCTTCTTTCTTTTTTTTTTCTTCTTCCCAGTTTTCTCCAAAGGCTTCTGTTGATGACATTTTCATCCCATCAGTTGGGTGAGAATAGAGATTTAAAATACCACCATGAGACTCTCTGTGGGGTGGGGTGGGGGATAGGAGAAGCAGAGGAATTGTCATACCACGGTGTACACCCCTTTCCATCCCGTCTTCTGCTTTCTCTCATTTCTGTCTTTGGTAAGAAGGATTATTTAAAGGTGCAATATGTGACTTAGTGGTTCACGATGCTCTGGGTTTTTAGTAATGTTTTACTCAGGTTGGCATTTTACGTGTGTCTGTGTGTGTGTGTGTGTGTGTGTGTGTGTGTGTGTGTGTTTTATAGTGTGGTGATCTGTGAACATTTCAGTGTGAACTCAGATTAACCCTTTTCCCCCCAAGTCCACTGGCTTTAGTCTCTATCTGCAGTGACATACGTCAGTATCTACTGTATATATAAATACTAAACTCTCACACCAGTCATTCCTATGAATTGAGGTGTACAAAGTTTGATTTGTATCAAAGATGTAATTATTATTTTTAAAACCTCTTTTCACTACACTGCTGCTGTAATTACTTTGATTTTTTTTAAAAGAAAATGTAGATTTTTTTTTTTTTTTGCTTCAGGTGTGTATTCACCAAGAATTTCAGAATTTATGAGGATTTATTTTATTGGTACATAATCTGTAAACTTCTCAAGGCATTAACATGACAAGATTTGTGTCTTTTATTTTATCTTGTGGCTCAGGTTATATTTGAAGAAGTTTTGAGTTTATTCTCTAGTAGGCAATGAAGTATATAAGGTCTTATGAAGGAATCGCCAAGTCCCTGGAGTCCTGTGGCTGTTTTCCACAGTGACACATCCTGCTGTATGTTTGGGACGACGGTACCCTGTTGAAGATGAGAGCAGGGTCTTCTGAGGTGTCCTGGCTGCTGTGGGCCCTGGGGCAGCCTTCAGGATTCTGCCGTTGCTCTTCACTTCACCAGCACTTTGATGACTGTCTGGATATGATCATGAGTACTTTAGGGTTATAGAGAGTGAACTGTGATGTGCTAAAAAGCCCTTGATGTGGTCAGAGCTGTAGTGCTGTATGTCTTCTGTCCCCCTTTCCTTCGAGGTACTGAGGATTGAAAGGAGAGGTCAGGGCGGTGTCATGCTTTGGGTGAGAATTTTACTTCTCAAATGGAAACTGCACTTTTTGCTAAATCCTTTGCATTTTGATGTTCATTTAGTGTCAGGCCTTTTCAGGAAAGGGCTGGCCAGGGTAGATTAGGCAGGCCCCTTGACTCACCTTCACTGGGAACTTTGACAATGCAGTTGTGAATCAGGGAAGCCATGCTGTTCCCAGGTGTGGAGGGAAGCTGAAGGTGGGCTCATTATTCCCAAATCCCATTTGGCTGCCCCTAGCACGTGCTGACTCAGGGGTGCCGTACAGATGGGCCTGTCTGACAATAGTTCTGTGTACCACCTGCCCACCTCCTCAGTGTGCTAGGAACCATTGTAGTGGATAGTGAGGGGTCAGATCCAGTGCAGCCTGAAGCCCAGCCTCCGCTGCCACGGGAAAGGCTGGGGGAAGGACTTGCCCCTAACAAAGTCCTGTAAAAGATCGAATGGTGTCTCTTAAAAAAATGAAAGCAGCATAATCATAAACATACTGTATAGAAATGCAAAACACAGAAACCTCTGCTTCTGCCCGAATGGGTCTGGAAAGTCCTTAGGAACCAGCCCCAGCAAACCACTGTCACATGCTAATCCCAGGCTCAGGAGGAAGGGCCAAGAGGTTGGGAGTTCCAAATGGGCAGGTCACAGGAAGGTCACCAGGCTATTCCACATCTAGAGGAGGACTGTGTGGTGGGGTTTGTGTAGCACAGTCATTGGAAAGGGAAGATTAACATGTTGGTAGGAGGACGCATGACTGAGACCAGGGCTGGCCAGAGGTGAGGGGAAGGTACTTCTCACTGGATGCCCCAAGCCCTCGATGGAACTGTGAACTGAAATTTGAAGAGTCTGGTGAAACTGGAACGATGGAGCTCCCTGCTCAGATGTGATGGTTGCATAGAGAAAAGCAGCCAGGGTGGAACCTGCCCACCAAAGAAAGGGCTACAGACTGGTGGCCAGATTCTGTGGAGGACTTGGGCCATTGATGTCTTCTCCTAAGAACAAAGACTTTTCCTCCGGAGCTGAAACCAGAAGGAAATTAGGCATCTGTTCTCTGAGGCCACTTTGTGATTTCCAGCCAGACTTGGACACAATGGACCCTCTGGATTTGTGCTTTGTGAGGTTGGAGGCTCTGGGGGGTGGGGTAGGGAGGAGGTGGGGAAGGGTTAACTATGCAGCTGATTCACACCTGTTTTTCTGGGATGGAGAAGCCTGGTTCTCTTTTGCAATGCTTGATTGCACTTGTTCAGCTAAACAAGCCTGGTGACTGGAGTTGATTCACCTCAAAACAAAGTCGGAATTCTCTGTTTTCAGACTACCGTGTAGTGACTGTGTGTTTAACAACTGTAGCTTTTTCTCCCGGGGCGGGGCACAGAACAGACGTGTTGATGTGGACTCTAAACTGTACTTTCTTGTAACTATTTTGGAATGATGCACATTTCTAATGTCTGTTATACTTGTACAGAGTATTGCTGTTGGTTGCTTTTTTTTTTTAAAGGAAAAAAAATGGCCTGAAAACTTTTTTTTTAAAGACTTACAAATACCAAATATAAAATATGTCAACACATTATGTCCTTGATTCTTTTCTTTCCTGCTTAGCCTACGTATCTACCATGTATCAAGCAGTTCACTGGCTTGTTATATTCTACCAGGGCATCCCTAACAAAATCATGTCTCCATTGGAATGTTTCATATTGTTTTCTCGGGTCACTGCCAAAGGAATCATCTTCTTATAGTTCTGGAAGCTAGAGATCAGAGATCAAGGGGTGGCAGGTTCTAGTCTGGTCTCCCTGTCCACACAGGGCCTTTCCCCTAGACTAGCCTCCCTGTCCACATGTGATCTTCCCTTTATGCAGGCCTGAGGAGTCTAGTGATACTGGTTAGAGCCTTATCCACACCACCTTGTCTTAATTACCTCCTTAGATCCCTTCTTCAAGTAGCATCACATTTTGAGGTACTAGAGGTTTATACTTCAAGGTATGAGACTTAGAAGATGTGGCTCTGTGCATGTACAGGGCTAATGATGTTCTCAGTTAGGTGGAAGTATGCTCACCTTAGGAAGTCCCCAAAATCTTTAGAGGGTCTTTTGTTGAGGCATCTAGGGAATCTCATAATTACTGGGACACGGTGACAATCTGATAAGGCAGCTGGTTCTCACCCTTCCTAATGCTTCGGCCCTTTAATACTGTTCCTCTTGTTATGGTGACCCCCCCACCATAAATTATTTTTTTTGCTACTTTATAACTAATTTTGCTACTGTTATGAATTATAATGTAAATATTAGTGTTTTCCAGTGATCTTAGGCAACCACTACGAGAGGGTCACTCGACCCCCACAGGTTGAGAACCATTGTGATTCATCTTTTGTGTCCCTTTATAAATATATATAGAATCATCATTCCCAGCACATTTTTGAGTCATTTAATATGAAGTAAAAATTTCCATGTAATTTCTTTTAGTATGTTCAAGTTGACTGACTCAAGGGTCTTTTTTTTTTTTCTCATAACTTTTTTGATTAGGCAAAAAGCACAAACCTGGGACAGCTGATAATGTAGTCATCCCTAACAGGCTTAGTCTCTGGCTGAGGCTACAAAGTATTTTGCTTTTGATGTACTGGATGTGTGGTGATTCAGGAGAGTCATACCAGTCCAAATGCTGAGCAGTTGGGCTTTTCCTTCACTTAAATTTACCTCGCACCTAAGCTGAAGGAGTCGAGACCACAGAAGTTTTTCCCCAGGTCAGCATTAGGTGGCAGAGATCTGAAGTTTGTCACAAGAGTTAAGGGCACAGACGTGTTGGCTCGTCGAAGATGAGGATCTGTACAGAAGGGCATGGGTTGACAACTTGCTAAATCAAACAAGTTTAGACTCAAGTTTCTAATTGGGAATTGTAACTTGAAAGTTTCTCTGGCCCAGCTAGGTCCCGCTGCCCTTCTCTGCTCCGAAGAAACACGCAGATGCTATACTACTTATAAATACTGTTGGCTTTTGGCTAAGGTTTCTCATTTGCCAGCTCAGTCTTAATTATTAACCCATTTCTAATAATATAAATATTTCCATGTGGCCTTATCTTACTGGAGATAAGGTTCGGGCCTCTTACTCCGTTGGGGTCTGCATCATGCCTGCTCAGCATCTCCTCAGAGAAGAGGGAGAAGAGAAGAGAGAGCAATTTCTTGCGTGTTCCTGCTTATATTCTGATTCTGCCTGCTATGTCACTTCCTGCCTAGATCACAAGACTTCTCTTTACTACATTTCCCAGAATCCTCCTGCACGCCTAGTCCCACCTATCTTGCTTCCCTGTTGGCCAACAGTGCTTTATTCAACAACCAACATATACACAGATAAACATATACACAGAAGGACATTCCCCATCAGGGAATCCTGCCCCAGGTGCTTTGATCCCTGCTGTCATCAGGCCATCGAATCTATGCTCAGGTTTCTGATCCTGGTACTTACTTGAGGATGATTTTGCTGTTTATCAATGCCATGACAAAGTATCTGATCAGAAGCAACTTCAGAGAGGAAGGCTTTATTTTGCTAACAGTCATCCTGACAGTGGGAGAAGCTGCTGGTCACACTGCATTTGCAGTCTGGAAGCAAAGCATGAGCAGGGAGTAGGGCCAGATTATAGGGATCGACTTCTTCCCAAAGGTCACAGCCTTGGCAAACAAGAGCCATCAGCTGGGGACCTAGTGTTCAAGTACACGAGCTATGGGAGACATTTCACATTCAAGCCACAATATTCAGTAAGAAAAACCTTTGACATGATATAATTTGATGTGATAACATGATGAGGTATTTCATGTATTGCCCAGAGTGTAGTGGTGGCTATTCAACCTCTGTTTTATGCCTCTGTCTTATGATGGCAGTGGGCTGTACATTTGTGGGCAAACCAGACATCTCTTGAATGGAATTTGAGGACCTATGAGAGAGACAGGGAATTAGAGGAAATCAAGTGTGACTATATTGTTACATAGTGGCTAGAATAAGTCAGCCTTGTATTGAGGTGGCAGAAAGGGTAGAAGAGAAAAAAGAAGGAATGGTGTGTGCTGAGGCAGGAGACAATTTGGCGATTTGAAGAGTAGTTGGGAAATGAAGCTTTCTGGAAATTAGCTGGTGAGGAAGCAAGGCTTAGTGTAGGGAGTAACCCTAGCCCCGCCCAATAGTCCTGGGGCAGGTA